ATATTTTACAAAGTGGTAGCTCAGTATTTTATGGGGGAAAACAAATGTAATTTTATCTTTGTAATAATCATCGCATCTGTGCAGTAAGCACATAAGATTTGTGGCTTTTTACTTGGTAGTTGAGTGCCGTGAAGTATTTTATACCTTTTAATGCTTTTTTTCCCATTTAATAGCTTTTCCTAATTGATGAGATAAATTTGTCAGTTTGAGGTCAACAATTAGTTCTCTGCTTAATACAAAAATACGTAAACCAATTTTTTAATATATCTTTTCAGTGGCAGACGCCATCAAGCAACATGAAGCTGCCTTGACAAGACTGTGGAGTTAGACTGGCAATATGGAAAGACTGTCCTTTCCTCACGTTACAAGTTGGCAGTGTTTTTCTACACTTTTTTACACCCTTAGTGCTATTAGCAGTTTGCATACTGAAAGATGACCTTCTTAATAGTAACTTTTAGAGTACACAATTCTAATTTTCTTCACTATGTATTTAGACATTTTAGGACCTAGCTGCACCTTTTTTGGCATCAAAACTAGTATCTGGCCTAACTTTCCTTTAATGAAATCCATTCTTGTCTCCTGTCATTTGCAGTCTTTTTGTGTAATTAAAGACCGCTCTGAAGTCACAAGGTAGGTAATGAATATATTTGCAGTTCCAAAACTTTCACTATAAAGGACACAAAAGTACAGTATGTACTTAAACTAATGCTGTGACCACTAGCTTCATCCGTGTCATTCAGAGGAAGCCCCCAAGCTTGAGTGTGCTTGTAGACCCTCAACAAAAGGTTGAGTAGTTGCTGGCTGTGAAGTGCAAAACTGTGCAGTCCATTCCCCAGTGTGTTACTGCAGTACCTGCTTCCTCATTCACCAAAATCATGCTTTGTGCAGCTGAACACTTCTGTCTCTACAGGGGCACTCACTTGCATCAAACGCAAATGGCCTGCACAGATGCGCTCTTGGGCTCCTTTCCAGCATGCTCCTAACATGTGCGGTCGGTCTGTGTAACTGGTGAGAGGACTGGTTTTACATAAATTTGACTGGGAACAGAAGAGACTTCTGTTTAAGGCCTGTGTTTTGGCTACTTTGTAATTGAAAGTGGCATTGTGTGCAGCAGCAGGGCCCTGGCCTCAGGGTGCTGCTGATGTTCTTGGTGAGCCAGAGCTCAAGCTGGGATTCAGTTTCTGCACAATCTACAGACTTACATGACAAAGCAAGGCAAGTTGAATGCACTGTGTAAATCAAGGCCAGAGTCCAAAATAAGAGATCTGAGAAACACTGGCAGGAGAATTCTTTGTTAGACAAGGTCTAACTCCTAACTCCAAGCAGTTCACAGTCTGTTAGAAAAGGTGCTTTATGCCTTCTCCAGAATAACAAGAGAGGATTAGATGGAACTACAGGGAAAAACTGATGTGATCTAGAAAAAAGGTAAGTTTGTTACTGCTCAGTAAAACTGATCATTGTAGTTCATTGAAAAAATCAAGAGATTTATTTCAATAAATTTGTTTATTGAAACAGCTGTTACTGTTAACAGCTGTTATTGCTGTGGCAGTTCTGACAAATCAGAACTTAAGCTTCGTAATTTCATACTGCTCTGCTGGATATATCCAGCTGAAAAGTTAAAAATCCAGAACATGACAACACTTAAAATTCTGACCAATTTTATTAGAGTGCTAACATTGGTAGGTAAAAAACAATATGAAATATTAACACCAGCAATGCTAGTGTAATATGTTAAGAAAATTAAAAAAACTACCTACTTAATCTTTTTACAAAATATAAAAATTACTCCTGCAGTTAATATTCATTACTATTGCCTTATGCATCTGCGTTTTTTCTTCTTTTTTTTTTAACCATATCTTCCATGCCACTTTGCAAATTGGGTGTTAATTGTTAAAACTTCAGCACAAACAGACAAAATGCTGAATCAAGGCAACTTCCAACATCAACTGCTGTGGAACAACCACAATTTGTTTACATCTAATGTACTGATTGTATTTACATTGTAACTGAGCAGTGATTCAATTAACAAACATGGTGATTATCCAAAATATACACAGTATATAAATCCCCTATCAGGTCTGAGAGGAAAAGGCCATCCTGGTGGACTCAGAAACCCAGGCAGCTGGAAGCAGTCCTACGAAGATGCTCTTTTCTGTTCAGAAAAGGGAGATTCGTAGGCTTCCATTGGTGGGCAAGTACAAACCAGATGTTGATCTCCATATATGTCATCAATGCGAGCTATTGTGGGCCAAAACTTGCTTTCAGGCTTCACAAATGGCTAAGTACAGAAGAAAAAACAACTATTTTAGTTTTTCTACCACATGAATCTACATAATTTTAATAGACTTTTAAAGAACTTTTAAGAATGACAAATGTTGAAAAAGTGGATTTTTTAAGTGGAGTCATACTTAAAATCTATTTGCAGTCCCTGAAAGTTAACAAGCATGTATAATAGAGTTGGCAGGCAACAAAATATTTAGACTTTTTTAAGGAAGTGTAACCATGTCCAGTAACAAATGCTTGCAATGAAGCAGTTTGTCATGGGATAGAAGAAAACTATGGCACTTTGAGTAACAGGCTTACGGATAGGAACCAAGGAAAAGCAGAGGAGACTACCAAGACCTGTGCTGTTCAATATAGTTATAATACGATACATAAAACAAAGTGGCAAACATCACAGGTGCAATTAAACTCTTCCTCTTTGAAACACTACGAAGCGATAAAATAGAAGCAATTCAGTTACAGGTGAGAAAAATTAGTTACATGTATACTTAGCTGTTAAGATTGTGGAAGCAATGTTATGTAGTGCTCTGAAGAAGTCTGATCTATCCAGTTCCAATTTGATCTTATTGGTAGAAGGTTCACACTGGTGTGGCTTGCCCCATGCTGACTGTGCATCTCGTCAAAACCTCACCCCAGTTCTTTGGAGCAGAACTTGGAACGTCAGGATGTGGGACTCTGGTCTGAGAGCCCCTGGGGCTGTATGTGAGAACTGGAAGGGCTGTTCCCAGTAGGAATACTCAGTATGGAACTGCTGAGGCTTCAAAATTGAAGTTTGCACTTTGTGTGTTTTCAAAAACTAAACCAATGTAAATACTGTAGAGCTCATACACATAAAAACTCTGTAAAAATGTGTAAAAATGGCTCTGAAGTTTTTATTCCTACCACATTACTTCACTTCCAACTGACCAGAAAACCACAGAGCAGAATTTATGTATTGCCACACCGCTAGGATCCCATTATTTACTCACCAGTGGGAATGCTGCCACTTCTCTGGAATAAGGACGATCCCACTTGGAAGAAGTGACACAGTTCAGAGAATGTGGTGACATCTACAAGCAAAAATACATGTTTAGGTGATTAAATTACTGAATTCAGTTGAATATATCAGTGTGAACTCTCCTTCAAGTTCACACTACTACATATAAATAATTACTGTCTACAGAGTCTCTTGAGAATACCATTTATCTGGGGGGGGGGGGG